TTACCTCCTCCTCCTCTGACAAACTTTCCTCCAAAACCTCTTGCTGTGAAACCTAATGCAACTCTATAAACTCCTTGGTGGTCAGCTCTTGTCTGTGCTCTTCCACAAGCTCTTCGATCTCACTGTTTTCCTCCTACAATCCCATGATAGTGGCCAAAGACACAAACTCGTTGACTACAGATTACACCGGTACTGTCTCGAACCCCTTAAAGTCACAAATCGACAACGCTCTCCAGCCAAAGCTTCTTCCAAAAAGAAGTTATGGTTCTCTTGGTAACCCCTTCCCCCGCCTTGTCGATCATCTTGAGGCAGGCAACGACGTGGAAGTGATTTTTCCAGAACTCTTTGAGAGTGAAGTTGGTCCCTTCAGTCACCAAAAAACAATGCTCGAAGAAGTGCTTTAGTGTAGAGCTTCTTAAAGTTAGAAATAACTTGCTGGTCCATATGCTGCAGTAACGGTGTGGTGTCGGGAGGCAGAAACGGGATCTTGATGAACTTAAATTCTTCAGGGAGGTCATCTTGTAGGCCTGGAGGATTCATGTGCGTATATCACAATTTAACACAAGTTCGAGAAAATGTGTGATCACGATGCTACTGGAACGTGTGCTAAACACAGACTGATGTAACATACGCACTATCGGGGACTTCCCCTCTCCTCGCCACTCGTTATGCAAAAAGTCGCTTGTTAAGCAAGTCATTCTTTTACAATTTGTTTTGCTCGTTATGCGAATTACTCGTTATGAGAGGTGCTCGTTAAGCGAGGTTCTACTGTATTTTATAAACCAACTTGCACTCGGTGGGTGATGTGGTCAGCATCACGCTGGCTGCTTTGACTTCACAGGACTGTACCCAGTAGCCATTTAAAGCTGGGTCGACATGCGAGACAATGCAATTTTTTTTTTAAACTCCAGCTCCATTTAGATTTAACTCTTTGAGTCCCAGAGGGTTTAGAATCCCAGGCACAAGGGGTAGTAAACAGAGACGTAAAATCGGCGCATCTTGCGTTTACTGGGCTTCTAGGTAGGAACCTGTAAACATATGATGCACTCCTTGGGACTCAAAGCATTAAACCCACGACCTTCGGTTCTGCAGGCTAACGTCTAACCACTAAGCAACCTTTGAACAAAGGAGACACAAACTGGACAATTTAGTGCCTGACATATTTCTCTGTATCTCGTCAGATGCATGCAACCTCAATAATAATAAAATTTTAAAAATTTTCCATCCTACCTCTATCTATTGTTTATATTTTCTCTGTTGAGGAAAAATTGCTTCAAAACTTAAATTTATGTTGATTTGATTTGATTTGATTCAAGAACCGACATCACAGCACTCAGGGCATTCCCATAAGCGATTCGTCCCCATCTTCAGCAGCCAGCCAAGAGTTCAGATAATAATGGTGCCAGTAGCATTTTGATTAAATGTCCGTCTTGCCTTTTTTCTGAGCCTCGAGCATCTGACAGAACCTCTCGTCACTCCCCCCTGCATCAATACTGTTCAGGTGGCACTTTGACCCACTCCTCTCCTCACCTAATATTCTTAAGGATGCAAACCTGTCTGATTGTGTCTTCTGCCTGAGCCATCCATGGCCTCCCTCTTATCAGCCGCTGAGCATTATCTTGAATTAAATAATTGCTGAATGTCCACCTCTGTGGCACCTGCTGGCCAGTCTCTGCATTCCCGGATTAAATTTATGTAAGGAGGATTAGCATGTTTTCAGATATTCTGTACGTGTGCTCTAGTGCAAGAGTGTGTGTACATGCACACACACACACCCATACACACAGACAAACTCTGGCAATAACAAGAGAATCCAGTACTGTAATGATACATAATAACATAAAATCATTAACTTGGAAATAACAGTGTGTATTTTCTGTATGTGTATGTCAATAAACTACCAGTTGTGATTTGTAAAGATTGAAATTTGTTGTAATTTCTTCTTCTTCTCAGTGATCATCATCAGTAACCTCCAACAGGAAGTTAGGCTTGTTAGTCAACTTCCCAGACTTTAGTCTTGTTCCAGAAATTGACTTTTGCATGCACATTCATTTCATAGATGAGGCTTATTTACAAGCAGACTAGTCACTCATCCCTCAGGCAGATGTACAACTTCGAAGGAAACACCCCTAAATTGGGAGTATCTAAAAACCTTCCTGATTTTTTTATAGCACTTCCGGGGCAAAAGGGTTAATACATATAAATTAGGATAGTGATACAAAAAAATTTATATACCAGGCTACTGATACAAAATTAATGATTCTGAAGGACTAATGAAATATAACAGCCAAAACTTTAACTAAACATTTTAAACACAGGTAACCAAACTTGAGTATTACCTTTTCAACAGAACGCTTAAAGATATCCTTGTATTCGTCCTTGGTGATCTTCTTGAAGCTCCAGGCTCCTTTCAGGGCACTTCGAACAGCATCCTCGACAAGCTGACGAAACCCTTTCTTCACCTGGAACAAGGAAATTATGCAATCATAATAAAGCGGGATGCAGCCAGGCCAAACTGCAAATGAGACTTTTTACAGCAGAAATTCTGGGAGGAAGGTGAAGAGAGGAAGACCATGAAAGAGAGGGATAAATGGTGTAGCCAAAACTTGCAACAAGATAAACAAATCCGTCACCCGAGCCACCTGAGAAGCGCAAGATAAATACAGAAAATCACAACACTGGGCTACAACCTGGTATCAGTGAGATGACAAAAGAAGGAGAAAAAGAAGAAGCTTGATCCCACAGCGGAGGTTGCATGTGAGCACTGTATGACAGTCCATGAAGTGAAACAACCTTCATGGCAGGGGCAAATGGTTCAGCCATGGAGAGCCCCCTAAAGAAACGTATTTTGATGAAATTAAACACTTGCTTCATTAACTCTTTCAGTTACGAGCAACTCATTGTAAGTAAAATGGTGATTTTTTAAATGCCCTTATTCCCTAACTAACTGGAACATTAACTCATACTTCTTCTTCTTTGTGTTCACCAGCTCAAAACTGGCAATACATCTACTTGTTTGTCCATTTCCTGCCTTGTTTCAGAACTCAAGTTTTGAGTGCACAACCATTTTACAGATCTCTGGCTTAATACTTTTATGCTGTTAATTCCTTGTTTTTGTCTTCTTCTTCTTTCGTTCGCCTGAAATAAGCTGTCTATATCAGCAGTTTTGTCTCTTGTATAAATTTCACTGTCATTGTTAGTTCATTCAGTGGTCCATAGAGTTTACGTTCCACTGTTGTTCTTTCTGGCCAAAGGGTTTGCCTTAATGTGTCAAATTCGGTGCAGTCCTGGAGTACATGCTCTGCTGTCTGGGGCACATTTCTACAGGTGCACATGGCTGATACACCTATCTTGAATTTTGTGTACATGTGGTTGCGTAATCGGTTGTGCCCTGTTCTGAGGCGGAGGATAATGACTTGTTCTGGTCTGTCCATAATAAAATAGTCGTCTTGTGCTGGGGCTGGTGGTTTCCTGATTGATTTAATGATTCTCTTCTTTTGGTGGTATGTGACTGGTACATCCAGCTGCTCTTTTGTCGCACCTTCCCCTGCCAGTTGATCAGCTTTCTCATTTCCAGGCACTCCACAATGAGACGGTATCCACTGTATTACGACTCTTTGCTGAAGGCTGAGTTGTGTCAGCAGTGTTTGCAGTTCTGGTAGTTTCCTAGACTGGAGTGCTTCAAGTAGCATCTGTCAGCATTACCACATACTGTAAGCCAAGATTGGTATTGAGCAGTTTCTCTGTTGCTATCTTGATAGCTTGAGTTTCTGCTTTATAGTGATGGCAGTACTTCCCGGTTGGTACGCTGGACTTATCCCTAGTACCATCTGAGAATTCGATGTACACTCCAGCACCACCATTTCTAACTGCACTTTCTGCGGACCCATCTGTGTAGACTCTGACCCATTGTTCTTGTGGGTATTCTTCATCAATATAACTGAGGGTGGCCATTCTGCGTTGTACACTATCTTGCTCTTTCTTGTCAAATATCCCTTTCACATTTGTCTGGATTTGTACTTAGTTTGCATTTTTCTCTCCATGGGGTTTGTTCCGAAATACTTGTGGGCAACCAATTTCTGGAAGGTCAGGAGTTTGTCTACATATTCTTTTTGCTTGGTGTATAAAGCTGCTTCTTTTTAACCATCCCAAGGCTAGGTTCTTAAATCTATTTTCCATCGGGTGATTTGGCATACTGAGGAACTTTTCAGCTTGTATTTGCAACTTTGTATCTCTGCGTTCTCTCAGTGCCTGTGTTTTCCCAGCTTTCTCCTTTTCTAATATGGGGGTTGATTTTATCCCTCCTGTGATGACTTTGAGCGCTTGATTTTGCACTTTGTCCAACTCCTTTAATGTGGTACTAGATGCTGAACACCATGCAGTTGACCCATATTCCAAGTGTGGAAGTATGCTCTGCTTGTATACTTTATTGAGTATTTTCCTATCGGCTCCATATGTGGTTCTACTTAGTTTTCTTAGTATTGCTGTCTTCCTCCTGGCTTTGGTTGCTGCCTTGTTGAAATGTTTTCTCCATGTCAACCTGTCATCAAATGTGACTCCTAGGTACTTGGGCTCTTTATCAGCTCTTAGGGGTTTTTCCATTTATTTTTGCTTTGAGGAGAGGGTGAAGAGTGTGGTGCTACATTTGTCCGTGTTGATGCTTTTGTGACTTTAAGGGAAACTCTAATAAGTTGCATTTTACATGCTTGTTGAAGGGGGGGGGGGGGGGGGGGGGCGGGGATGGGGGGGGGGGGCGGGGGGGGGGGGGGGGGGGGGTGGGGGGATGTTAGTGGGTCTATTATTTATTTCTCCCTCAAATGGGGACAGAATCCACACTGGGAATTAGTCCCAATGTTTACTGTAACTCGTTCTGTCCCATAGTGTTATTTCTTTAAAACCTGTTTAGAACCAGACTACGATACTACATAACAAATGTTTAGGATGTGATAAGTTGAGGCAATGTCTGCCTGGCACTTGAAGAGTTAAAAACGCATGCTTACCTCATTAAGCAGAATGCTTGAATCCACTCTGTCAAAGGTGGTGATGCCTTTAATTGGAGCTGCAGGAGGGGGGGAGGCAGGGAACCGGGCTCTAGGTGGTTTCACCTCTTTGACAGGACTTTCTTTGACAGTCTCTCTAACTTTCTGAGTGTGTTTATGAGAGGACTTCTGGGGTTCCGGAGGAGCTGTGGAAGCTGCAATGATAGGTTCTGCTTTCATACTGGTTACAGAATGGGTCACAGCTGTTTCTTGTTTAGTGGACGCTGCTGGGTAGTTGTAACGAGGCATTGCTGGTGTTGTAGGTGCCGACTGAGGAGGTTGTGGTGGGTAGGCAGCAGCTGCAGCAGATGTTGCTGTAGCTGGGCTGTAGACAGTAGCCGGTACAGCGGCCCCTGCTGGACCTGCTTGCCGAGGTGGGTAGGTACCATGTGGGACTGGCTGTGTGTAAGAATGGGTGGCTGACTGAGGGTACCTGGGGTAGCTTGAATGTGGCTGACCTGCTGGGGCACCAGGGTGGACCAGTGAGGCGGCAGGCTGGCCTGGCTGCGAGGGGTAGCGGGCGTTGCCTGCATACATTGCATGAGGATATGTATGTGATGGAGGAGGTACTCTGGGAGGCACACCTGAAATATGAGGGTAGTAAGAAGCTGGAAATCCTTGAAGATGTGGTGGCTGATGTGGTCTGACCTGGTTCACTTGATGGCCTGAATGTCCATGCTGTGTCTGAGAATACTGTTGGTGACCAAGTGAGGCAGAATGATTAAAAGGCAGCCCTGGAGGAGGTATGTGAGCATGCATCTGAGGGAGGTGATGGGGTGGGGGTCGAACCAAAGGAGGCATAGGTGCCCTTGAGTAGGGATAGGCTGGTGGGTACTGTTGAGATTGATAATGCTCTGAAGCCACCAGGCGTGCCTCGGGTGCAACATTTGTGGGAAACCCATTAGATTGAACTTTTGACAAGTCATTTTCTTTCTTTTGCTCAACTTCAATGTCTTGTTTCCCATTATCCTCTTTATTGACCTCCTCCGTCTCTTGATTCCATCTAGACTTCCTTCTTTTCTCATGCTTACTTTTGTCTTCGTGATACTTATCCCTCTTCCTCTTTTCTCCTTTTCTTGGGCTACGACTGCCAGAACGAGATCTACTTCTGACTACTCTGTCACTGCTCTCACCATCCCTCCTTCTGTGTCCCTTTTCTGACTCTCTGCCATGGTGAGACCTTGATAACCTCTGTTCATGGGAATCAGACCTTTGACTGCTTGAGCGGTTATCTCGAGATCCTGACTTCTTATCTTCTTGCCAAGAATCTTTCCTCCTATCGAATGATCTTGGTAGAGCAGCCTCCAGATTCCCATGACCAGTTTCTGCATCTCCACCTCTTCTATCTCTCTGCCATTGATTTGGCCTCCTATCTCCATTAGGTCTGGAATCTCTATGGCCATAACTATTTCCACCAGAATAACTAGAGTACCCTCTGTGGTACCCTACATCCTGACTAGCTCTGTCTTTATCTATATCCTCTGTGTCCAAACCAAATTTCTTTGCACTTGCATCGCCAATAAAATCCAGAATGCTGATTGGTTTGACTGTGACATCTTCCTCTTTTTCTGGTTCAGAATTCTGCCTTTCTACTTTCTGGATTTCCACTTCTTCTGTCTTCTTCTCAGTCCTATCCCTGCTTTCTTCATTTTCCTTTGCTCCATCAAAGTCACTGGCTTTAAGACTAGACAGGATGCTGGACAGCAAAAAAGAGGAACGACCAACAGGTTTCCGGGAACCATAATCTTCTTCATCACTCTCCTCTTCTTCTTCTTTCTCCTCCTGCAAACTTTCCTGTTTTACTTCTGTACCGGCTGTTGTTCCATCATCTAACTTGATCTTTTTGTTGTCTTCGTTGTTGTTATCTTCATTTTGAGACATGCTTCTCTTTCTGAAAGTGCCAATTTCCATCTCCTCTATGTGAATAGCATTGACATCCAACCCTCCACTATCTTCAATTTCCTCTGCACACATGTTTCTTCTCTCATGGTATCTTTCTCTTTCCTCTTCATCCACAATCTCTCCTTCCTCCTGGCCTTCCTCTGCTCTCTGTCTGTCTTCGCCTTTGACCTCATCTTCCTCACTCTCGCTAGCTTCCCCTTCTTCCCTATCAGCCGGATTCTGCACAAAACTCTCAATGTTATCATTCTCCTCTCCACTCTCATAGCCGGCCAAGTTAGAACTTGTGCTCACTAATATATCAAAGTTTCGCTTCATAATTCCCACACTACTATCATCATGCACACTGTTAAGGTCACTGGACACAGCAGCAAAGTTCCTCAGGCTTGTTTGTGAATTTGTAGGTGTGCTGAAACCAATACTGTTGTTTCCTGCATCTTCCTCTGCGTTGAGTCGTGCATTGTTGCTAAATATCGCATCAGCTTCCAGATCAACCCCAGATTTCACATCCTCCATATCCTGTTCCGGAGAGTCGCTGACGATGTTGTTTAATACTGTATCACTTTCTCTGCTCCCGACAGATAGACTGTTGTTGCTCTTAATGTTATCAATTCCATCTGAAGAAGACTCCGAGCTAGTTAAGGGCTTACTCTCTGGCTCCATTTTACGTACCTCAGCAAAGTTGAATTTGACCCTGTTTTCCACATCTGTGCTTCCACTGGACGCAGTACTGCTATAAACATTATCACTAGAATTATCATCATTATTATGTCTGACGCCATCAACACTGGCCAAAAGACACTGCTCTGTCTCAATCAGTGATTTAGCTGCATTTGAATCCTGCGTGTCATCAACTGAAATATCCATGCTTAGGCATGAATATTTTGTTTCTGAATCTACCAAGTCTGGAAGGAAGTCACTCTTGTCCAATGGTGCTGCCAGGTTGCTGCTCTGTTTTTCATCAGACACTAAACTGGCAGTCACTTTTCTGACATCATTTCCAGCCCTCAAACTGTCAGGTGCATCTGTGGGTGATACAGCATTACTACTGAAAGAAACCGACCGCTGTGGTTGAGACTTGGAAGGAGAAGTGCTGGTCGCAGATTTGCTCTCACGTGTGGGACTTTCACTAGCAGAAGTTGTCGGAGAATCACTACTGTTTCTGGCACTGGGGGATGTCAGCTGTAGTGACACAGTTGATGATGTGCTTCTTATCTGAGTTGATGAGCCAGATAAACCAGTGTTTGCTGCAGTGAGAGATCCTGTAAAACAAAACAAAAATAAGACATATATTATCTTGCTTGCCATTGTGCAGTTAAACTACTTTTTTAAATAAACAGTTGAAAGATTTTCTATGTAATGAATAAATGTACTGGTCCATCCCCCCCCCCCCCCCCCCTTCCCAGGTGAAGGAAAGGGGAGAAAAGGCCCACTTCCCCTTAACAAGCATGTCACAAAAGGGAAATAATTCAAGTTTTGTTTAAATTATTTTTCTTTTAGTTTCACCCTTAAGGATTGCAGTTTTTAAGATGATAACCTAACAACTAAAAAAAAACTTGAAACTGAGTTCATTCATACAGCCAGGCAGCAGTTATTTTGGGGTACCACCAAAAAACAACAACAAAAAGCTTTAGGGGGTAAACTGTAGTGCTCTTGTGGAGCAAATATTATGCCTCCCTGGTACTTCTGTGCAAGTTATACAAGGTTATCTCCGAAACATAATGTGTGGTCAGAAGTGAGGGGCAATAAAGTTAGATACATTACATCACAAAAATATCACAAACAAACAAAGATGTCACAGACACACAAAAGAAGTGAAAGACATGCTATAAAGATATCAAAAACACACCACAAACTCAAACCATAAAGATATTAAAGATACACCATTAGATGTTGAGGATACACCATTAGATGTCAAAGATACACCATTAGATGCCAAAGGTACACCATTAGATGTCAAAGGTACACCATTAGATGTCAAAGGTACTCCATAAGATGTCAAAGATACACCATTAGATGTCAAAGATACACCATTAGATGTCAAAGATACACCATTAGATGTCAAATATACACCATTAGATGTCTAAGATACACCAGAGGATGTCAAAGACTTACCATAAAAATGTTAAAGGCGCACTATAAAAATGTCAAAGACAATAAAAATATGACAAAAAGGAAACACCACAAAAATGTCAAAGATCACAGACCTACCACAAGATGTCAAAGACACCGCAAATATGTGAAAGACTCATCACAAAGATGTTTAAGGCACACCACAACTATATCACAGACCCATCACAAAGATGTCACAGACACACCACACAGCTTCCACCAATATACTCACCATCCCTGTTAATTGTAACATGCTTGCTGCCCTTGTGAAGTAGGTCTTGGTTTTGCAGAATAGAACCCAGCAAATCAAAGCCTCCAGACACAGCTGAAGCAGATGTGGGAGTTGAAGGTGTTTCCTCAACAACAACTTTCCTGACAACAAAACAACATTTTTTTTAAGGGGGTAGAGATAATAATACAGACACAAATCTATTAGGATTTCTTAGGAACAAAGATCTAAAGGTAAGGTACCAGACTTCTTCTCTTGTGTCTGCCCTCAAAAGGGCAACTGGTACATTGTATTGTGGTTTACAGCTAGGCTTTCTGTCTTTTACCTTGCTTTTGTTGGGGGCAGTTGATCTATTCTTTTTCCTCCTAAAGTGGGGCCCCAGAAAACCATGGGGGGGGGGGGGGGGTGGGGGGGGGGGGTGGGGGGGGGGGTGGGGGGGGTGGGGGGGGGGGGGAGAGTTACCAGACTTTGCAAATCTAGCCCTACATGTTTTTGTTTTTTTTTTTGTTTTTAGGAAACCAAACAAAGTATAGAGGACCCACTAAGACAAACCTACTGCCAGATTTCTTAGTGAAAACAAACTAATGAGTAGGAGGACTAGATTAAGATAGTCAAAACCCTGCCAGACAAAAACACACACACATTAGATATCAACCACTTCTTGGGGAGGGGGAGGATCTTTGAGCCTGAGGACTTAGGGCCGCGCAAGGCTAGTGCTGTCGCCATGGACCGTGTAGGTTAAGATTTTATTTTGATCCTGACTTCAAAAATACCCAAACTTACTAATGATTTAAATGTGGGTTCTCCGCATGACAGCCCTGCATTCTTAAGTTTGGCCAACCTCACCTTGTCACACACCACCCTCACTAGCTAAATTTATATCAAGATGAAAACATAAGCCTACCAGCCAAACTAGTCAAGGATAACAATTAATAACAAACCTGCTGCTGCTTTTCAGATAAGCTAAGAATAGTTAAAATTCTTCTTCTTGTTAGAACGTGCTTCGAAGTTCAAGCATGAGTCTTTGGTCCCATTATCTGCATCCTGTGGTGAAATTTCTTTAATCGCGGGAAGCTGATGTATATTGTGAAGGGGGGATCTGGGCACCTATGGACATGCTGTGAAGATTACTCAACTCAGTCTGTTGGTACCTCACCTCAACTCACCTCTCAGTTAGACAGATGCACTCTGACTTTGCAGAAAAAATCCCTAAATACTTTACTTTTATTATATGCTTGTTCCCCCCCCCCCCCCCCCCCCCCTTCTTCCCCCTCGCAAATAGGGCACTGGATCACATCAAAAGTTAATTTTATATTGCATTTCTTGAAGGTTAGTATAAAAATACAAACTATCCAAACCTTTTTTTTTAAGTTTGGTACGAAAATACAAAACGGTTGGTATCAACACTTATAAGTCAAAGAAGCAGATGATTGTTGGGTTTGAATTCTCAATAAGGTGATGTCAGGAAATTGACAGAGAATCACCAAATGGCACTGAGATGGGAAACAAATGCATTGAGGAAACAAGGATGACCCAAGAAAAACTTCAGACAAACACTGACGAGAAAACAACAGAAGCTGGCCTGGACAACATCCATGAAACCCAAATGAGTTCTCATGATAGTATAGAATGGAAGAAGAAACTGTGAGCCCTCCGTGACACATAAATGACACAACAGGATGATGATGACGATGAAAATGATGATGACACCAGGAAAACTTCTTACTTTTTAACTGGTGAAAAACTGAGTGGTTTGTGAGACGACCTGGCTGATCTAGACAGCAAAATTTCAGCAGATATTGCAGGTCGACTGACAGGCTGCCTCTCCTCTCCTTCTTGGCTGTAAATACATACATGCTGACTAATGAAATCTATTTCTAGTAACAAGATAGTCAAGTGCATACGGTGGTGACTCAGTTTTAGTTTTACATACTCTTCAGCAGTGGCCTAGGAAAGGAGGGGGAGGGGGGATTGAAGGTAAGGCCACCCTGCATGTCATTACTGGAAAGGTATGTGGGTGGGGGGGGGGGGGGGGGGGGGGTGAGAAAATTGAAAATTGTTTTTAAAATGAAAAAAAATATGTTGTGGGGGGGGGGGGGGGGGGGGGGGGGGGTTGGGGGGGGATTTGTCTGACCCGGTACCAACTGACCTCACTATATCACTACTTATTACTCATCAGCACTTCTTCTTTGCATTTACCAGCTGTTAACTCTGGCAAAGTTCTGGTTGTTCATCCAATTTTGTGCTGCAGTCCTGTTCCAGAACCCGAGTGTTGCGTGTGCATCCATTTTACAGATCTGACTTATTTGTATGCAAACTGGTGGTTCCTTGCCTCTCAGGCAGAGGCACTCCGACTTCGAAGGAATCAACACTTAATGGGTGACATGATCACAAAATCATTTTAGGCTGGACTGACCTGAGGGCCAAAGTTAATTTTACTTATTAAACCCTCTCGTTAAAGAAAATGGATCATGGCCCTTTTAGAATTCCAGGGGGAAAAACTATTTTACACAGGATACTAAAAAATCTGCAAAAATGTATTTATATACATGTTTAAATTTGTTTCTATACATAATAATACAGAAATTAAACATTAAAATCTGAACTTTTTCTGAACGCGACAGAAAAATTCTTAGAATAACATGGACAAAGAAAACAAAAAACACAAAAACACTACAAGAGCATCCTGGCTTATAAGCAGCTTTCGGCCCCGAAAGCTTTTTGGCCATGTTAAACGTCATGGTTGAACTGGAGATAAGGGTGATGATAGATGCAGTTAATGGAAAAAGAGATAGAGGCAGACCTCCGCGAACGTAGATACAAGACACTGAAGATGCACTGGCTATGAAAGCACATAGGGCTGGCGAACTAGATAGAGCAAATAGAACCTGTTGATTGATGACAATACAGTTCTAATACTGCCTCTGCTCCGATTACCTAACCTACAGTACTGTTAAATTTCATGTACAATTTCTTTAACTGATCCATCCTTACTTTATGTTGTTAAAAACATTTAATTACATTGGTGTCTTTTTGTGGTTGTAAATACTGCTGTGACATTTCGATGATCTATATTATAGTGCCTCCTTATATAAGTCACTCCCTTATTATCAGTTTGAAGAATTACCTTTCCAATGATTTCATTTATGCACTCATAATATCATATGATTAAACACAAGTAACTATATTTCTGGTTCACGCTGAGGTTTTTACTTTCATACTTCAAAACTTCAGTGTTTCTAAATGAACACTTTTTAAAACACTTACTCTGCAAACAGATACAGTTCATCTTTACTTCCGAGCAAAGACAAAGTGGAGGCACCATGATCTGCAAATGATCTTCCGGGCCCTTCCTGTCGTGAGCCAGACGGAGGCAGTTTCTGCATTGGAATCGATCGACCAGCAGGAGGTTTCGACAGTCCTAACTTGTCGGCAATGCGACCTTTAACACTTGTGACAGCCCGTGAAATGGCAGTTCGTGCCTAAGAAATGACAATCCAGGAATAAGTAGTTAACATTACAATAAAGACATGCATGGAAAGAAATGACAGTAGCATGACCCCAAAAAAAAAGCAATTACTACAACAACAATAAAACATTTTATTGATTTAAAACTATTCTTCCAACTCTAACTAGGGGGCTGCGTGGACTCAAGGTATGGTGTCCACCTCGAGTGCTAGAGTTCAAGCCCCGGTGAAGGCTGGGATTTTCTCTGTTGACGTGGACTTCTAGTAATTTCCCCTGGGTAGTGAGATCGGACGCCCGTGTGTATTGTTGCGCACGTAAAAAATCCCTTGGCAGGTGGAAATCGAAAAGAGTAGTCTAACGCACTGCCCGGGCAAAAGTTAGAGTTACAAATCTACCCAAAATATTTCAGGATCCCGCTAGTGCTACGGAGCCCGTGCACTGCGCTAAGTTACTTTGGGCTCAAGACTTGAGTAAGAAGAAGAACGGAGCACTTATGGGTTACTAACCGTGTGCCATGATGATGATTCGTTGCTCAAATCTCAAACTTCCAACCCTAACTCGGCCCACAAATGCACAAATTGACTGTTATATTTTTTAAAGATGTCTTTACCATCTATTTATCACCATGCAGAGGTGGGGTGGGAGGGGTCTTGATTTGAGGATATAGTGCCCCTACGTGGCTAATGCTGCTGCCACGAGCTCTGCAGATAAGGGTCGAGTTTAGTTTAGCTGAGTCAAGAATTGACATCACAGCCCTCAGGTGCTCCATCCCCATCCTCAGCAGCCAGCACAGAGTTTCTGCAGATAAGAGATTTATTTTTGCCCCTGACAAGAAATCCCATCATCTTATTGAGAATTCAGACCAGTTTTCCAAACCCGCACCAACTTAAATGCTTAGCAAGATTTTTCTCACTGCAATATTATCACACCCACTAAATGAAACCTGACAATGTGATTTTGTATTTCAGCTGAAAGCATTCATTTTTATGCCTAATTGTATGTTTTTTAACTCTAAAACACAAGATACTGCAAAATATGCCAGGCAATAAATTGTGCAATGTATAGTTTGTGTCCTCGTTATATGAGTTATATTATTACCAGGTTTACTCAATTTCCCAGCCATCTTCTCCTCACTCCTTGATTCAAGTGAATGTTAGTTCTCTCCCAGAGTTTCACAATAATGATTCTGCTATTTATTGTCCTCAGTACCATTTTGACGATTTCACCTAACTGCAGTCTCAGCCCTGTTATTGGTCATTTTACAATATGCCAAAGACACACGTGTGAATTCCTACAGCAACATGGTAAAAATGTTTTATTACTTCTCATGGAAAAACACAATTCTTCAGAAATCTCAAAAGTCAAAATGAATTATTACTTCTCAGAACAATACATAATTCTTCAGAGATCTCAAAAGTCAAACAGGACTTTTCTCAGCACAAGCATTCAACAATTAGATGATTTTAGCGTAGCGCTGATGATATTATATAGATGTTACAAGCTGTCTTTTTAAGTACTGACTATGAAAATGTGATAAAACCATTTCACTCACTAATGCTGTAGAACTGGCAGATGAGGTCGACTTAGTTTTCTTCACTTTCCTCTTTCCTTTCCCCTTTGAACGCCTTTTCCTTGTTTTAGTTTTCTTTCCTGTCGACTTCCGTTTTGTTTTTCGCTTCTTGGTGGTTTTCTTTCTCTTTCTTACTGTTTTCTTTTTCGATGTTCTGCGTTTCCGAGTTGTTTTTGTTGTTTTCTTCCTGGTGGCTTTCACTGCTGAGGTTGTCGCTGAAGCCGAGGGTTCGAGTGTTGCTTCAGCCCCCTGAGGAAAGAAAAAATATGTGACTTTATAATTTAGGAAGTGCGAATTCTTCACCTCAACACCTCAAGGTACAAGAGGATCAAGATGAGATTTTTCTTTTAAAATATCAAAGTAAAAGTAAAGATCCCATATTTTTACAGACTGTTGTGTGCAATATATGGGTATATGGAAGGGAAGTTCATTACTGAACGTAAAACTTGTTGCGGTGCAGCACACATTGAACGGGATGTGAAAAGAGAGAAACGGTTGGCTCCAAGTCCCCGGAGAGGAAGGATGCGGTGATGTAGGTTCTAGTCTGGGTGTTGCCAGACTAGTCCTGCACACCCGCATGTTACGCTGGCGTTAGGCATATAGGCTATCGGCGGGAGATGCCGCAGTGGCCGGGCCAGCGTGACAGGAGCTCGTGAGGTGATCAGGAGATCTCAAGTACGCGTCAGGCCGCAGACGGAAGGTCTGGATAATCTTCAAAATGTATTGTGCATTGACCTGTATGATCTTTCTAGTGACAGTGTACCCAAGGGATGGGTGTCATAGAGACAGTCACGTAATCACGAGTAATGGGTTTGCACGAGCAGGTAATGTTTGCTCGTAGTTAACCACGGAACAGGGTGGCAGTAGAAGTCATCCAGAGCGCCCTGAGTGTGTGCTGCCTTGCTAGTAAGAATGACTGTGGCAGTATAGAAATTCATGTCTCATGATGCCTTTCATTGTCTTGGTGTTGAAATACATTAAATCTGCTTTGACGTTCAACATGTATCCGGCGTCCTCTATTGCTGTTGGGCAGAAGTGGTTACTTGTAACTGTAACACTATTGAGCATACCTAGATACTTGGCAAGTGTGCGGTGTATCAAGCGAACATCGCACGCGACACAGACCAATTCGGGTAGCGTGGTCAGAATTACGCCAGCCGTCTCTACTTCCCCAGGACAGCCATCCTGGTACCCATTTTAGGCTGGGTCGACCCGCGACACCTCATACCATGATAAAACTCCACGGAGCCAGCAGTGGGTTCTGACTGCAGTATGTTGGAATTACGAGTCGTACTTGCAACGCCTAAGCCACGGACACCGCTATCAAGATGAGATGACAGGAGATAAATATTACAGAGCGAACAGGCTGCAGAACAGAAACCACGCATATGTATAGTACAGAAGAACAATTACCAAGTGGGAAAAGAGTGCCATAGTGGTGTAGTGGTCAGATGCTCGCCTGGAAGTCTGAGGGTCTTAGGTTCAAATCCCCATCGAGACAGATTTTTTTTTTCTTTTCACAACACACCTAGGTTCTCAGGTCAACCCAAGTTAAATGGGTTAGCAAGCAATGTTCTCAGAAAATAAAAAGAGGCAGTCAGAGTGATGATCACCCCATTACTTACCAAGTGCTAACCGGCCTACAAACATATGAGTCATGCAGTCAGCGTGATGATCACACCATTACTTACCACGTGCTAACCGGCCTACAAACATGAGTCAAGCGGCATTTCTCTGATGCACCACAGGCATAAAAGAGTCCTTTACTTACCGTTTTCATTTTACAGGTGGAAAAAATATCAGTCAAAAGAACCAAAAGAGCAAGTTATTAAGATATAATTATTTCTTGCCAATGGTGTAAAACACCGCTTAACATACCCTTTCTCTATACTGTCGCTTCTGTAAAAATGTATTAACAAAAGACAGCTTCTAACAATCTGCTCATAAATCAGCACACTGAATAATTTATCAAAATTTGTTTTAGTCTCAAAATTCTAGCCTATTATTCCTTTCAACAATTATAAGTTTGACATTTTCTTCACTTCAACAGTTGTGTAATGTATGAAATTTTAAAAAAGGGTGGCAACAGCAATGCACAGACTTAACAGCATTTAACCCACTGACTACCAACATCGCACGTAATGCGACGAGACGACGTTTACTTCCTTCTGCCAACGTCACACCCTTTGCGATTTTAGCTTTGGACACTCGCCGTCATGTTAAAATCGCGATTTTTATGATGGATTTAGTTGAAACCTCTAGCTTATTCATTTCTGTATGGTCAATTAAGGGAAATAACTCCGTAGTGTTTGAAGTAAATATTTTACGAATTTTTTTAGTTAGCTCCCATGACGGTGAGACATTGACGAAAAATTCATCATGGCGTCAAATTATCGGAACCATCGTGGTGGCCATATCTCTCCTAATTTTTCTAATGATGCATTCGATTTTCTTGATTTTGCTTCAAAAAGTGCATTTGAAGACACTTCTGAACAGTTTGATGGCTATGACTATAATAAATTTAACGAAGTGCCATTCAAAACATCGTCGACTGTAAAACGACAGTATGACGCTTCGAAGTCGTCTGACAAAGACAGTCACAGTGTTGTCGGCTGAAAGCACTAGTGCTGCAGCTTATGATGCTAACAGTTCTTGTGAGAGTATTCAGTCAAAGCCCACAGATTATAAAGATTTTGTGCTTGAGTCTGCACATGACGAAAATATCATTGCCGCTTTTGATTCAGAATCATCATCATCTAACGAGTCCGGAGAAGATGTTCCACGCCCCCAAATAGTTGATGACTGGCATTGTGATTTAGAAGGCTTTCCTGGAGTACCCCCATTTACTGGCACTTCTGTTTTATTTCTGCCAGAAGGAACAAATGAACCACTGGATATTTTCTTCAGTAAAGACATACTTGCTGTGTTTGCTAAAGAAACAAACCGTTATGCTGAGACAAAGATTAGTGCTGGAACTGGAAACACACAACCCCAAATGAAGTGACAGGGTTTCTTGTACTGTTGTGTCACATGTGTTGTGAAAAAGCTGTCTATTTCAGACTATCAGATTTTATATCCATCTCTCCACTCATCATTTGCTGCCACCATCATGTCACGGGGGCGTTTTCTATATATTGCTGTCAGATAACATATTTTTCTGTTGCCTTTTTAGCACCATATCTACAGCCAAATGATGATGATATAAAAAAGTAAATCTACATTTGTCTTGATATTTGTTATCTATTTAATTTTGTGCAAACAATATCAGATAGGATAAGTGATATTGAACAGTTGTGAAGCTGTGACATTATTTGGGAGTCTGAATTATTGTCAGACAAAGGATTTTTCAGTCGCCTTTTTTTGCAACAATCTACAGCCACATGATGATGATGATTATGTCAGATAAAGTAAACCTCATTTTTTTGTCTTCACATTGTTCTCGGTTCATTTGGTGCAAAAATACAAAATATTATATATGTTTGTTGAAAATTTCATCACTATCAGTCTTTATTGTTGTCAGATAAATGATTTTCAGTTGCCTTTTTTGCAACAATCTACAGCCACATGATGATGATGACTATGTCAGAGTAAACCTTATTGTTTTTTTCTTTAAATGTGTTCTTGGTTTAATTTTGTGCAAAAATACAAAATTTTATACATTTTTGTTAAATATTTTTTGAAAATAAGACATTTTTATTTGTCTTTATTGTTGTCAGATAAAAGATTTTCCGGTTGCCTTTTTTGCACCAACCTACAGCCACATGATGATGATGCAAAACAAAATAAACAATAAACAACTTTTTTTTCTTGAAATCTGTTCTTCATTCAGTTTGGTGCAAAAATACAAAATATTGTGAGATTATATCAAATAGTTGTGAAGCTATGGCATTTTTAGTAAACACTAAAATACGTGGTATCTGGGGAAATGCAAGGGTTAATGGGCTTGGTAGTCAGTGGGTTAAGGTCTTGATCTAAGCACCAGCAAGGAAATCAAAGTCAAAATTTTAAAAGAAAGCATCTTTCCTGTAGCAAACAAATGAATGTGAGTCAGGGACTATCTCGCAGAAAAAAATAGGGGCTTTGAGCTGAAATGTTGTTATAGAAAAATTTGTAGAATTCCATTGACCAAGGAGGAAAAAAATGATGTCCTAAAGGATCTGAATATTTAAAAAAAAAGACTGGCTTGTAAACAGAATGTTGTCTCAGAAACTGAAATAGTTTGGTAATACCTAGCTCTATGTGGTTTGGAAAAAACAGCAGGGAATGGTACCTGGTAACAGGGGCAGGGTCTGACCAGTGAGATGCTGGGCACAGGACATAAGAAACACACTGGGCAGGAGAGTGCATGAGGCAGAACAGCTAGTGAGGTTTCTTTCAGGCTGTGATGGGAGCACCATTCTGTAACAGACCTGCTACGTGATGATGATGATGATGATGATGAATATCGTAAAAAAGAAACTAAACTGAGAGGAAACAACAAAAGTAACTTTTCCTAAAAACTAAATTTTGAAACTAAAGTAAATAAGCTAAGCACTTACTTCTAACGCCTCCTGTGCCACTATCATTTCTGCAACTCTTCTCCTCCTTTCTGCTCGTTCAGCACGTGCTTCAGCAATCAATCTCCTCACACGTTCACTGATTCTGGTTCGAGCTATCTGCCGACCGGATCCATGATGTTCTGTGTCCACTGTGAATATATAATTAAATATGCGTTCTATGTTTTTGTTAATGGCATTACAAAATAAAATTCAAGAAAGAATGCTTCAAGCTTCAAACTCTGCAGTAAATTTATGGAGTGTGCAAAGACCCAAAATTCAAGATAAATGTACTGTTAGAGCCTAAGTCTCTGATATCTTGCAAATAATAATTCTTTTTTCTTCTTTAGCATTCCCAGCCCTTGAGGTTCATTGCTGCAGATATCACCCGCCTCCATTCATCTCTTTGGTGTATACAATTTTTACTTCTCTGTCATCTGACATTCTTTCAATATGCCCCAACCATTTCAGTCTATTAGCTCTCATGATGCCAATTATCAGTGGTGATTCAAACAGATTGTGAATTTCGTTGTTGCTTCTTACTTTCCATTCACCGCTGTTTGCATCTTTGATGGGTCCAAAGATTTCGAAAACCTGTAATAAGGCTTCATCTCTTTTAGTTGTCCTCTAAGTTTCAGAGCCATATAAAACGATTGGTCTTATCAATGTTTTATATATTGCGATCTTAGTTTACAAATAATTAAACTAGTTAAAAACTGACTAAATATATAATTAGCTAGGTATCTGACTGAATAATCAGTTATCTAACAGAAAACTAACTAGTTAGCTATCTGGCTAAATATGTAAATAGTTGACTCAATAAATGATTAACTAGCTACATAGCTAACTGATTAATCAGCCGACTAAAAAGTTAGCTAGTTAGCTAGCTAACTGGCTGAATAAATAAGTGATTTTCTAGCTGACCTAAATAATGACCCAGAAGGCTACCTAATAATTAACTAGCTAAACAAATTACTTAGGTAAATAACTGAAGAACCAACCAGGTAGCCGACTGACCAACAAATTACTGATTTGCTAGCTACCATGTCCATCTGCTTCTCGGGTCTTTTTGTTGCAAACAATTACCAGAAATAGCTTTAAACTGATACCCATTACTTTTTCAAGCAGCTGAGTCGATTCCAGGGCTGTAATGGTGGGACATAACAATCCAGCCTTTGCTAGTGATTGAATTTGGACCACTGTCCAGACTGGCAGGCATCCTAATTGCCACAAAACTACTGCTCCTCAAAGGAAAATCAATAACAAATTTTGGTTCAGATATATGACTATCATGTTTACTCAATTGTAAAACCTAACCTGAAAATAAGCCCTAGCGTGATTTTTCAAGACGCTTATAATATAAGCTCTATTGTAATAAAAGCCCTACTGTAATACAAGCCTCACTGTAATATACGCACTACTGTAAAATAAGCCCTGCTGTAATATAAGCCCTAATGTAAATAAAAGACCCATTGGTATATAAGCCCTAATGTAAATATAAGCCCTATTGTAATATAAGCTCTAATGTAAATATAAGCCCTATTGTAATATAAGCTCTAATGTACACATAAGCCCTATTGTAATATAAGCTAAAATGTTTTTAAAAAAGGCTACTGTAAGATAGATAAGTCCTAATGTAAATATAAGCCCTTTTGTAAATATAATTTCTCGTTAAGATATTCAACCAGACCGACAAATTGTGTCCGTCCGTTGAAATATATGACTGCTCTATTGAATTTCAAAGTAATAATTGTAATAAAACAAATAATATTACTGACCGACTCGTAAGCCAGCATACCGCGATCGAAACCTGCATGGGCTGCGTGGATTTTTATCGTGGTATGGGACGTCGCAGGTCGACCCAGCCTAAAATGGGTACCAGGATGGGCTGTCCTGGGAAAGTAAAGACAGCCGGCGTAATGCTGACCACATTACCCACAGAGTGCTGACGGTCTGTAAAAATATGGGACGCTCTACCCATATGCCCGATGCGCCGAAAGGCGTGAAAAGGGAACTTTACTTTTTTACTTATTACTGACATTCAATGTTTTGAAAAATAATATAAATGTAGATTTTTTTACATAACAATTAAAGACATGCCCTGAAAAAAAAGTCCTAAGGCATCTTTTAGAGTAAAACTGGTTACAAGACATGGTCAGATATTTAGGGAAATAATCTGGCTGGTAAACAGGAACAATCAGCATCTAAATCTTTTGGTCTCAAGTGCAGTAACCTTAGTTCTTTTATAAAAACGCTTATCTCACCTGCTGCACGGCTCTGCTGGCAATCAGGACAAAACCATTCATGTACTGGCACACTTGCCAGAGGGGGATCCAAGCAATCACAGTGGTAGCTGTCAAATCAGAACAAATCCCAGTGACAACTTGATGTACTGTAATACAGTCTAAGATGCTATACAATAACATGAACAGAGATAAGTCCGGCAGACCAGTTAGATCATTTCATTGGGCTCTTGTTCAGGAGACTGAGATTCTAATCCTGGGTTCCTTCAAAGTTTGAGTGACCAGGAACCAACAATCTGCATTCAAATAACAGATATGTATGCAAAATTTAAGCTCTGGAACAAGACCCCACTCCAGAAGTTGACGAACAACCAGAGCTTTCTCCAGCAGTTTGCAGCTGATGCACATTAAGAAGAAATCCCTGGAGGGTAATAGGTTCTGTCCTGTAAGGATGACTTTCAAGTATTCCATCTATCCATCATATGCATGGGTGACCTTTAGGGTCTGTTTCCGCTGTGTCTAAGTGACAGGACTCTCTGTAGTGCTCTATTTTCTAGTAGTCTTGACATATGACTGAATCATTTGATCCACCATTTCTTAAAACAGTTTAGCACTGGTTTCGTCCTAACTTGTTGCCTGATATCGTTGTATCTGATTCTGTCTCTTTTTGTTACATTAAAATACATCATAGACATTTCAGCTGTTTCAATTTTGTTTCTTTCTGCTGTTATGTCTACATTTACCAGTAGTAACACAATGTTGATATAAATACTATACTAAACCGTGTGTGTGCACTTTTTTGGTATCATTTGTTACACATTTGTTTTGTAGTTATAACTATGGCTGAGACCAGCAGGTTGAACAGGGTCAGAATTGATTCATTTCTGATAATCAAAATAATATGAGAGAACACTGTTCTAACTACATCATGGCTGAAAGCAAAATGCCCTGTAATTACCCGAGATCACATCGGTCACAGAGCAGAAGCCTGTCCTCTCTGTCTGAATGACCACAGACCTCACAGTACGTCGGATCTTCCTCAACTTCTTCATTCTCCTGCTGACTGTCCTCAACAGGAAACTAGGAAAAGAACAATTACAAAAAAGTTATACATCTGGACAAACTGTCTGATCAGTTAAATGTGGATTTATGTCGTTATATTAAATAAGATATAAGTTTCTTTTGAAGTAGGTATGCATCTAATGTGGAGAGGAAAGGGTTAGAGGGGTAGTAGGTGGGGGGGGGGGGGGGGGGGGGGGGGGGGGGGGGGGGGGGGGGGGGTGGGGGGGGGGGGGTGGGGGGTCGGGTGGTGGGGGAGGGCAACAGTCTGCACACAAATAAGCCAGATCTGTAAAAGGGATATGCACATCCTGGAACAAAACCAAAGTAGTGGACAACAGTCATGATTTCCACCACAGTTACAAAAGGTGAGTTTAAACATGACGATGACGAAAATGTGTTTGCTTTTCAAAGTTATAATCCAATTAAACCCTTCTGTGTTATCATCTGTGAGTGAGTGAGTTAGTGGTGTGGCAAGTGTGTGTGTGTGTGTGTGTGTGTGAGAGAGAGAGAGAGAGAGAGAGAGAGAGAGAGAGAGAGAGAGAGAGAGAGAGAGAGAGAGAGAGAGAGAGAGAGAGAGAGAGAGAGAGAGAGAGGGGGGTGGGTCAGGGAGGGAGGGAGAGAGAGTGTGTCCTCAATTACCTGCTTAAATATTTTCTCCTCCCCAGCATGTCTTCCTAGGATTATTCTGAAGACCTGACGATCTACTGGACAAGTGTTCACATTCTGAAACAAGCAAAATTGAAGATCCTTTTAACTCTTATATCTGAACTAACAAAACTTTATTTTCAAATGGTCATCAACTGGGCATGCTGACCCTTTTAAGGTAATGAGTATTACATTAACACTTTATTTCAGAAACAGACCATTTTAAAGATTATTTTACCTGATTCAGGTAAAACTGAGAACTGTTTTAACTCTGGTGAACAAAACAATGACAAAAAATAAATTCATCAGTTTTCTTGACTTATTCAACATCTGGAATCTTATAGTACATTCAAGCCACTTTTATATCATCCCTATTAGATGATAAACAAATAGCTTGAACATTTCACAACTGGGACTCCCAAAGGGCACATAAAAGGAGATAAATCATGATACAGGAGTAGGTTCCTCAACCTCTTACAGCATGAGAGAGAGATAAGACAGTCTAAAACAAGGCAGGCAAAACAGACAGTTGAAACAAGCCACAACTGACAGTCTAAAACAAGGCAAAACAGACAGTTGAAACAAGCCACAACTGACAGTCTAAAACAAGGCAAAACAGACAGCTCCAAAACGGCATAACAGACAGTCTGAACAGTCACAGCATGAGGCAGAGGCAGGATGGGAGAGTCATGAGATTTAAAACAAGATGAAAGACAAATAAGATAGCATAGCAAGGAGAAAGTTTAATACAGAGCGAGAGACAGTACAGTATAAGAAGATCCAGAAGGACAGAGCAAAAGAGACCAGGCGAGAGATAAAAACAATATAAGACAGAATTATAGACAGTGACCTGCTAGGAACAAATACAGTGATGGTTTCCTAGCCTTGGACAGAGGAAGACAACATGAACAGATTCCTGACAGCTTTTTGTCAAGGCAGAATATGTCGTTGGAGATCACAGGCTGTGAAACAACAAGATCATCTGCCCCAGTTGGCAAAGCATGTGATGATGATAGCTGACAAAATCATCAGGAATAGAACAGATGTTGACAATGAGAGAGAGAACAGTTACACACAAAGTGACACACACAGAGAAGGCAGATGCATTCATTCATTGCCCTCCTGTGCCATATGTCACACAGAACTTGAAATCTATTCCTCTTTTCCTTTCTTTCCTGTGAATATAACTTCAACATCATTGATAGACAAGACTCACATCAAGCAGCTTTGTGAAAATGCAGATAGACATCTACAAATAAAACAAAACATTTAAACAAAATACATACTTTGGCCCATGCCTGGATACACTCCAGACAGAAGGAATGGTCACATGACTCGGGAGTGCCAATATCCTGAACCCGCAGACGGTTGAGACAGATTGGACATCTGTCAGAGTTCTCGTCCCCAGATGAACTGTCATCAGCGTTGTCCACTTCCTCTCCTTGTTCAACATCTCCTTCTTCTTCTTCATCATCTTCTTCATCACTGTCCTCATCACCTTCTGAGTCGTCATCCTCGTTGTCATTTTCAGAGACACCTATGAAACAATCAACTTATCTAAATGCAGGCTTTTACTTTATGCATGCACACACGTGCGCATATGCATGAATACACGCACACACACGTACACCCAAGTATTTAATCCATTCTTGGTTTCTGCTAGAGTTTACAGCCAGTGAATAAGAAAAAGAAGATTCTACAAAATGAGAACAGACAACAAAAAGAGTTCAAACCATCCCATCCAAGTAACACTCCCACATTACATTAATGTAAACGTATGTCTAATAATCAGACATCTCATTCATATCACATACAGACCATTTCATCCACATCACTGGTTGTTGCTTAATTCAGATTTTATGCCATGAAGACCATAAGATCCTTAAGATCAAAAATGATTTGACTTTCACACTTTCGGTTCTATTCAACATTTAAAAAAAATTGACTTCACTTCCCACACTTTGTTCGGTTAGCTGCGTATCTTTTACAGGATGTTGCAGAACCAACCCTAACAGCCCCTGGCTGTTGCGTGGTTTTTCTAGGCAAATTTACATCCAGTAGTTTGCCATTGCTTGCTGGACGGTCGGCTTTCTTGATACCACTGTCGAAACCAACGCAAGGCGCATGGCCCGCAGCTGGGATCGAACCTGGCATCCCGGCATTACGAAGCGTTTTCATCGACTTAGCCACAGAGCCGACTCCCACACATTAAACATCCAAAAACGTAAATCAGTAAATGTAATGTGGTGGGATGTTGTAGTGTTGACAACCTTTGTTCAAGTGCAGTGCTTTCTGTGAACAGCTTGGATCATTACATTACCGGACCATAAAACAAGATCAGGGTTAATAAAAAATAAACACCCTCACCCAGACAGAAACTAAAAATATACCACAACCGGATAAACTGAGGAACAACTAACAACAGCAGCAAGCAAAACAGGATCAAAATAGGATCCAGATATGTAGCAATGGGCAATACACTCGGATAGGGAAACTCAGTGATCAATCCTGGTGCTCATACATAAATCTCAGCCAATAAACTTGATACAAATATAACCACATGGTTCTCACAGCAAAAGCTGTTCGCAGCAGATGAACGCAGTAAACCTTTTTTGTGTGTGGGACTGAAACAGTTAGAAACAAAAAATGCTCTAAATTATGTACAGGTAAAGATATACAATGATTTATGCATTAGACCTACCTACTAAAAGAGATGAAGCCTTTTTACAGGTTTTCAAAAACAGTCTTAATGAGGAATCTCTCGACCCATCAAAGATGAAAACAGAGGGGAATGGAGAGTGAGAAGCAACAACAAAATTCATAATCTGTTTAAATCACCATTGATCACTGGCATCACGAGAGCTAATCCACTGAAATGGTTGGAACATATTTAAAGAATGCAAGATTACAGAGTAGTAAAAACTGTATACACAAGGGATATGAATGGTCGTAGACCAAGAGGACGATGGAAAGATAATGTCCAGACAGACAGACCTGTAAACACATTGTGTTACCAACTGGAAAGAGAAGGCCAACCAAAAAGATGAATGGAGGTGGGTGATATCTGCAGCAATGAACCTCAAGGGCTCGGAATGCTGAAGAAGGCCAACCAAAGAGATGAATGGAGGTGGGTGATATCTGCAGCAATGAACCTCAAGGGCTCGGAATGCTGAAGAAGGCCAACCAGAGAGATGAATGGAGGCGGGTGATATCTACAGCAATGAACCTCAAGGGCTCGGAATGCTGAAGAAGGCCAACCAGAGAGATGAATGGAGGTGGGTGATATCTGCAGCAATGAACCTCAAAGGCTCGGAATGCTGAAGAAGGCCAACCAAAGAGATGAATGGAGGCGGGTGATATCTACAGCAATGAACCTCGAGGGCTCGGAATGCTGAAGAAGGCCAACCAGAGAGATGAATGGAGGTGGGTGATATCTGCAGCAATGAACCTCAAGGGCTCGGAATGCTGAAGAAGGCCAACCAGAGAGATGAATGGAGGCGGGTGATATCTGCAGCAATGAACCTCAAGGGCTCGGAATGCTGAAGAAGGCCAACCAGACGAGATGAATGGAGGCGGGTGATATCTGCAGCAATGAACCTCAAGGGCTCGGAATGCTGAAGAAGGTCAACCAGAGAAATGACTGGAGGCGGGTGATATCTGCAGCAATGAACCTCAAGGGCTCGGAATGCTGAAGAAGGTTAACCAGAGAGATGAATGGAGGCGGGTGATATCTGCACCAATGAACCTCAAGGGCCCGGAATGCTGAAGAAGACCAACCAGAGAGATGAATGGAGGCGGGTGATATCTGCAGCAATGAACCTCAAGGGCTCAGAATGCTGAAGAAGGCCAACCATAGAGATGAATGGAGGCATGTGATATCTGCAGCAATGAACCTCAAGGGCTCGGAATGCTGAAGAAAAAGAAGATTAGACCTACCTTCATCAGCATTTTCTGTTTCCTCCTCTTCACCTTCTTCATCACTATCGTCGTCGTCATCGTCATCATCACTTTCTTCACCATCGTCATCATCATCCTCATCACTCTCACTATTTTCATCATCTTCCACATCAAATTCCTTTTTCTTTATTGAGACATCCTCTTCCTCTCCATCCTGACCCTTCTGAGAATCAGAGTCATCTTGATTGAGCTGCAATTCTCTGGATGACATTTTCACAGAACAGAAGTGGCTTTGCTTGTTTGAAAACCTGCTTCTCTGCAAAAACCTCACTTGCTGAAGGATGACCTAGGAGGATATACAGTAATGTTGAGACAAAAAGGTACAAGAAAGTCATAATTGTTCACTTGGTGTTTTCTTCTACCCTAAAACTCATAAGAGAAAGGTCTTTTTGTAAACTGATCACAACATAAATTAAACCTGGTACTTTTTTCATGTCCGGAGGAGCAGCTGGCTGAAAGGTTAGAGCGATGCGCTTTCACACAGAAGACCCGGGTTCGAATCCTCAGTAAGGCTGGGAATTGTTTCTGTCGGAAACAATATAAAACCCTTACCTGCATAGTCGTGGCCGTAAATCCTTAGGCTCAATGATTCCCTGCCTACACAGCAAAACTGGTTTTACAAAGACAGTAATTGGCAGTTGCCGTTCTTGATGTTTTTTTAGCTTGTATGTAGACCGTTGGTTCCTTGCCTCATAGACAGATGCACTCCAACATTATAGGAAGCACCCTTATTTAGTTGCCTTTTACAGCATGCTATTGGGGGAGGGGGGGGGGGCAGTGGGTCTATTCTTTTTTCTCCTCAAAATGGAGTCCAGCAACCCACACGGGGATACCCTAGTACTTTGTTTACAAAATGTGTCCACTAACCTATGCACTATAAAGCTGCGCTAACAAATCTTTACAGCGAGTCTCTTCATCTGCATGTTCACCGGCTGTAAACTCTGCTGGAAAGTGCAGTTGTCCATCCAATTCTAGACTCTAAGTCTTGTTCCAGAACCTGAGTGTTGCGTTTTACAAACATGGCCCTCTTGTGTGCATACCTCTGGTTGCTTGCCTCTCAGGCAGATGTAGACTTCGGGGGAAACCACTAATTAGCCGACTCTTATGACATGCTTGTTAGGGAGGCAGTGGGTCTATTTGTGTTTTCCAATAAGAGAGCACAGGAACCCACATGGGCATCTTATCTGCCCGGCAAACGATGAAACTTCATCAAGAATAGCCTTCACCATATCATTATCAGATGACTATTCACTTCCACTTATGATATAGCTCCATAAATTAACACATGTGACCATTTCTGCAGTGGCCTGTTATCGAAATGCCACTGGTTCTAATGTGCACCTGTGCAGTGTTTAATAGGCCAAGATATAAACAAAGTGAAAATAGTAATTAGGTGGTTTCCTTTTAATGCCATGCTGATGAAAAATAATTTCTCCCCCCCCCCCCCCCCCTGTCGCGTGCGAATGTGCACCAGAACGCACCAGTACGGAGTGAGCAAATAAGACGTCAAAACAATACGTAACGTTGTTATGATATTGTTGTTGTCTGAGCAGTTGATGTTTATAGTCCGAAGGAGACGGACGTGGGAATCCTTGAGGACGCTTTACCCCGGGATCCCACGGAAGCAAACGTTATTAAAGTTGGATCCTTGAGGACGTTTTACCCCGGGACTCCAAGACCTCAGCAGGAAGCTGGTGAGCACTACATTCTCGGCAGCAAGCCGGTATACTTTCATTGCTTAATTCGGACTTGTCCGAGGACCAAGATGATTGTCATGATCTCAAGGTCGGACTGCGACCTATCGTAAGGACATATCCGTCCATGGATGTACGAGTGAGCTTTGGTTGAACGAGTTGATTATTGATTGCATATGTATTTCTCCTTGTATTGCTGATTGTATATATCAATACAACTGTTGGAACTTAACGCATAGTGTTCGAACTCTACCTTTTGAAAGCATTGAAGTAACTACTGTTTTACCCCTACTTGGCCTAATTCATCTTGGTACCACACACATCAGCTTGAAGCGCCTCAGCACGTCACAATGAAGGTCAGCACGTATCAATGGGGGCCAGCCTTTAAAGAATGAGGAACCTCTCGTCACAAGTGTGATACGACATTTTGTCGCATTGTTGTGCCTCAAGTTGTATACGAAGCACATTCCAATTGTCACAGTCTTTACCAATCTCTAGCTGTGGATATCGTTCAATGTATCAAGTCGCCGCCGCCGGTCTGTTCTAGCCATCGTTGGATCTTCATCGGGACCATATCATTCTTCGTTCGTTGGATCTTCATCGGGACCGTATCATTCTTCTTCGTTGGATCTTCATCGGGACAGTAGCACTCTTCGTTGGATCTCCGTATCATACTTCGCTGGATCTTCATCATAATCAAGTCACCGTTACTGACTGTGCCACTTTCCGTGGGATTGAATCGGATCAAGTCGTCCTTTTGGTTGTACATTGATCTGCTACTTGCCGTTGTACCGGTCGTTATTTAGCGATTTTTCATCGCTAACATTGCAGTGTGTTGTTTGTCTGCCACCCAATTGGTAAGTCAATTGTGGTTGTTGTGGTTTCT